GTGCATATATTCACGTCGATAAATACAGGAACAGCCATTTGTACCGCTGGGGCTCGAGTCGGGCGCCTGATGCAAGAGGAGCCTTCACTTAACAGCATGGCCTGGCTGGAGGAAGCAGGAGAGCGTCTTCACCAGCCAGGGGTGTCTCTTAAAACACTCAGTGAGACGCGGGCGCAGCCGAGCTGCCGGTTTGCGGGGATGGGGGGTCCCTCCTGGAGAGGGGGAAGCCTCCCGGGAAGCAGTCGGTAGCCTGGCCCGGATCTGCGGTCGCGTCTCGGCTGGAGGGACCTGCGCGTGAGGGCAGGAGCAGCCGGGAGCACAAAGTAGTTGGTTCTTCATTGATTCCCAGGCCAGTGCGAAACGAGGCCGTAAGAGAAGGTTTGTAGGAGACAGGGAGCGTTTTTGTCTTTAGACCAACTGGTTCCACTGGTGCCGATTGGCCTCGTTGATCCTCTGGAGTGTAAACCAGCATGTTTGTTCCCAGTTATACCCTGGTTTTGCAGAATGCACTTGCTGGTATTAGTAAAGGTTAGGGGTTGAGAAGAATTTCTCACAGCTGTTCTCAAACTTTCCTGTCGATTTTACTGACAAATGTTCACTTGGTCTTTGCTCTTTATGGACACTGTAAACAGAGGCTACGAGGCTGTGGCTGAAAACGTGGAATGTAACATTTGAAGATAAACTGTTTCTCATCGTCTTTTGTTTTAGGAGGGAGATGTCTGGCCAAACTCTACAGCTGAAATTAATGTGATCTTTCAACCCCGGGAAGCCAGACTCTATCAGCAAACTGTCTACTGCGACATCTCAGGTACGCCCACCCCTTCTCTTATCCATGGGGGGGATGATGAGACCCCCCAAAGAGCCTTCCAGCCCTTTTGGCTTGTGAGAGTGGCTTTAGGAGAACAGCACTAAAGCCCTTTAGACATCTCATGTCACTGCTTCTCTGCCTGCATGGGAATTGTCACCTTGGGCTTGATCTCTGCTCCATCCAGGTCGCCGGGTGCAGAGCTTGCTGAGCTCAGCAGAGCCCAGACCGTCCCCAGGAAGCGTCGTCCAAGCAGCCCTGTCCCACGGAAGGGCTGTCACCACTTCTGCTGGGAGCAGTTATTCACGTGCCCAAATATCCCCTCCCTGCCCTCAGAGGTGACTCTCTTGCCGTGCTGGCGCAGGCAGGGAGTGCTTGCACCAGGCTGTGCCGGTCGCGTTACCGTGTCCTTCCTCCTGGGCTCCGTGCCTCCCTTACGTGCTGCTTTTTAAGGTATCTTAAGGTTGTTGTCTGAGAGTGAGAGATGGGCAGCAAAGGTCCATCCAGGGACCCTGCGGCCCTCCCCATCTGCCCACCCCATCTCCTGGGGGGAGGTACGTGAAGCCCCTGGTCCTTCCAGCAGCCGAACTCCCGTTCTGGAGGACGGCGGAGTCGCTCGCCCGGCTGCTTTGCTGCCTGCCATGGAGCTCCGAGCTGATGGGTACAAATGTCATGAAACAGCTTTTTATTTATACAGTAATTGCATAGGGTTTACTTGGCAAATGCCGCCTACGGTAATTACACAGGGCTTGTGCTAACAAACCGTCTTCCTGCCCACCAGCTGCAGTTGTTAGAGCCAGGGAACACAAGGCTGGATTCGAGAAGTTGCTCCCAAGGGATTCCTCCCGGAGCCGAAGTGCTCCTGGGCCCGAGACTCTTGCTTTGGTGACAGGGGCATCCATCGGGTTGCTGTGGTGTCCCCAGGGGTTGCTCGAGGAGGACATGGTGCTGCAGGGGAGCTGGAAGGTGACTCTTTAGGCAGGGGAAGAGTCCGCAACCTTCTTGGCTGGGGAGGCCACCCTTTAAACCCCCGCGCTGGCCCCCAGGAGACGGTGGCTCCATTCCACGCTCATCCGTGGAATCCTTGGGGGACGACAAGGATGTCATTTGAACTACGAGGCTACCCCCTCCTGTCCCTTGTAAAATAGAGCTGCTCCTCTGCATCGCCAGGAACGGAGCCTTGCAGTCAGCAGCAAGGTCCCTTGGTGCAAAAAAAGTAAATAAAAATAACGATCTTTAACTAGTTCATTAATTTTGTGACTGCATTCCTCGCACATTGTGTGTGCCAGTCACAGAGCCCTTTGGAGCATGACTTGCACATGGCCTCCGTGCCCTTTGCGGGGGATATTTCAGCTTTGCTGCAGCCTGGCGAGTTGTGCAGGCTGGGTCTGCCCTTGCCTCTCCCCAGGAAAGGGGTTTTGGCCTCTACTCTTTTTTGCAGGTGCCTCCACAAATTGCTCAGCAGCTGCCTCTGGATGAGGTGACGTACTGCGCTCACCAGCACTGTGCAGCTTGCAAATCTGGCACTTAGGAGGAGCAGGGCTGTGGAATTGGCTTTTGGCAAATATTTAAGCTGAGAATGAGCTTTCCTAGTTGTTCACGCAGATGAAACAGTCGCTCTTGAGGCCCAGCGGGAAGGAGGAAGAGCAAAAATTCCGGGGTGTCCAGGATCAGTGTAGGGGAAGAAAGGAAGGTTCCTTGGGCTCCCATGAGATTGGGCCGGCTCCAGGAGGGGACTTGCCACTCGATTGCAGCGGCTGTGGGACGGGTCTCGTGTCGGTCCGTGCACTTTGTGGGGTGATCGTGGGCAAACGCCTGTCCCTTGAGAGTCTGGGACTCCCAAGCCTTGGAAACTCCCTTGGGAATTCCCAAGAGCATTGGTGATTTGCACCTAGTGGCCTTTCTAGTGATGCAGGATGGGCAAGTCTTTTGACAGCAAGCACCAAATACTGCCTCTTCTGCAGTATCCATGAACTAGAAGGGCCCAGGCCTCCCTCTGAGTAATAACCAAGCTGTAAAATACAGCCCTGCTCCCTGCTATCAGCCAGACTTCCGCTGTACCCACTTAACTGTTGAATATAACAAAAGCTCCATGCCAATTATTTTCTGGCTTTGGGTGCTATCAGGCATGGCTGTGAGATCAGAAGGTCGATGATCATTGAAACAGGTCCAGGCTGTTTTTCAGGAGAGTTTTTGGAGTTGTGATAAAGTCACCATGTTATCCCAGCTTGGTCCTTCCTCCTGACCGGAAGCCCTGTAGGATATTCAGAATAACTGTGCAGATCAATATCTTTAAGGCAACCATTTAATCCCTGACTTTTAATAAACAAATAAACTGTTTTAATAAACAGTGAGGATCACACAAAAGCAGCCTGTAGGAGAGGGGAATTTTTGCACTAAATTTTGCATGAAAGTTACAGCGAAGACCATGCAGCTTTGGGGCTTTTCAGTGTTTTCACATGGAGCACCTAGAGCTGGTCCCCATTAGCAGGGGCCCCCGGGGCCTTTGGGTGGGGGAAATGGGAAGGATCCAGGGCAGCAGGAGGGAATGGGCCGTCCTGAAACGCAGGTGTCTCCGCAGGCCGTGCGACCAGGCTCCCGCTGCGCGTTCGAGGGGAGGGCGTCGGGCCCCGGCTCCGCTTCGGCTTCGACCAGCTCGACATCGGGAAGGTTTTCGTGAGCTCCACACACAGCTACGAGGTGAGCGGGGACACGCGTTCTCCCCGGCTAGCGCGCTGGGACTCATCACATTCGGGAGGTTTGACCCGTTCCGGGCATTCTCACAAGGTCCAAGAGGGGTATCTGTTCACAACAGATGCTCAAAGAGTCTCCCTGCTCAAAACTGCCCCTTGCTGTTGAGCTGGGAGTGCTTTCCCTTGCCTCTGTCTCGCCACGCTTTGTCCTGCTACATCTCTGGCTCTAGAAAGAGTGGACAATCTCTGCAATGGAAGCAAAGGAAACTTCACTTTCTCTACCCCCCACAGCGACCTCAAATCTCTGCAAAAATGAAGAACAAAGGAACCTAAAGAGGTAGCAAATGAGGCCATGCATCATGCCAGACACTTTCAAAAGCCTGACTGTGACAGGGAAGGGCACGCTAAGGTGTTTCCGTACGAAAATATTTTGCTCTCTATGCATTTTTAATGCTGATACCTTATTGCCTCTCTCTGTTTCAATTTATTATTTTCATTACTTTGGAAAGTATGAATAAGTAGATGATGCTGTTAGTGCTGTCCTAAGCAGCTCGACTGTGGGTAGACCTCAGCTCAGCATGGCATCCCTAAGTGCCATTTGTAACCAGGATGTCAAATACAAGGGAAGAGTGTTCAGGTTACCCTCAAGGAGTCCCAATGTGTGAAAATATTTGCAGCAACAGCTGCAAAATTTAGAAGAAAACCAGCACCATTCCTCTGCTGCTTCCTCAATTTTGCTGCCACATCTTGCAAGGACAGAATGTAGGGAGAAGAAAAGACCCCAAACAGGTGAAAGGAATCCATGGAAATAGCAGGATTTTGCCCTGCAGCAACTGGAAAAATTACAGATTTGTTGGTGACCTACTGCTAGTGCTAGTGTTGGTGACCTACTGCTAGTGCTTGCTCCTTCTCTGGAGATCTTCAAACCCGCTTGGACACAGTCCTGTGCCACGTGCTCTAGGTGACCCTGCGTGTGCAGGGGGTTGGACTAGATGACCTCTAGAGGTCCCTTCCAACCTTGAGCATTCTGTGATTCTATGATTCTAATATAACTTGACCGCTAGAAAAGAACTGAAGCTGAAGAAGCAGGGAGCAACTGGGGCACGTTTGAGGCAGCAGCTCTCTTGACTGTTCAGCAAAATATGGCATTGGTTCTGAATTTGCAGCGTCTTGCAAATAAGATGAGATCTTCATGGATGCCTGTGCGCATTTACGAAGAAGGCTCTTTAGACCAGGTAGAGCTGATATCCTCCTCACCCCTCTTCTTTCCTGACTGTTCTCATTGAGCAGAGACAAAAGAATTGGCAGATTAAAGAAAAATGGCAAGAAGTCTAAAATCTGTGTTGTAGCAGAGCCTGGGGATACTTCTGAATGTAGCTCTATCATGCTGTCTAGGCAGTTCTTTGGCTTTGTGCAATAAATAGGGGACTTATATGTAGAAGACTCTGGTAGAATAAGTAGTATAAGAGCATAGTATTTTTGCCTTGCTTCACTGTGATCTCTCTCACCTGAAACACTTGGTAAAGGGATCTCAAGATGGGAATATTAGACAGAAGGATCCAGGCCCCAGCAAAGGGCATGACTGATGCTGATCTGAAGAAAGCTCCTAGAGTGCCATTCACCAAAATGAAATCACTCTTTTGGTCTTTCATTGCTGTATTTATTTCTGTCTAATCTACCCCGTTGGCTGTAGAACACAAGTCTCCTGCTTTTCCCTTTGCTGGGAGGCTTTTGTTCCCAATTTTGACTAAAGAGTGAGTGTGTTTTGAAGTGATACCGCAGCAAAACAGCCCCTGTTTGTAGGCTGCAGTGGAATCTGTCACATTTGTCACTTAGCGGGCTTGGCTTTGAGGCCACAAGCAGTTAGGTGATGATTTGCCAGCGATGCTGTTCCCGCTCTGCTCCGAATCAACTCGGTTATGCCCAAAGCTGCTTTGCATAAACCTGGAGTGACTCTGTACGGCCTTACTGCTGCTTCGCACGAGCAAACCCAAAGGCAGAACTTGTCCTGTTGTCTTCGCTTTGGTCTCTGCCAGGAAGCAGTGCACAACATCTTCTGTCTTTGCTTTTCTAATTAAGCTGCTAACAACCATAAACCAGCCTTTTGTATGAGAGGAAGGTTCCTCACGGATCTCGGTTTTGCTTTTCCTGCTGCTCTAGGCAGTCCTGTTCAACAAAGGAGCCATCGATGCCCTCTTCTGTGTGGACCCTCCGACTACGGCTCTGGGCTCCTGCTTTGCTTTCCACCCCCGTGAGGGCATCATTTTGCCCGAGGAGCTCCAGGTCATCCGGATCTCCTTCAGGTCCACCATCCTGGGGGAGTTCACAGAAGAATTCAGGTTCAGTGTTAACGGATCCCCCCATCCTGTGACCTTGACTATCAGGTAAGGAGAACTGTAGGAGCTGGGTGTTTGCATCAGGGCCTCGCTGTCCCTGGGTAACTCCTCTCCCAGTGCTGCTGGGACACTTATACCAAATTCTTTGTTTTCCAGTAGAGCAAAGAGAAAGAGGCACCGTCTAAGACCTTAGGTTTGGGATGTCAGGATCAGAGCCAAGAGTTTTTCAACCTTGACTCTGCTGTGAACCCTGCAATCGCTCACCAGCGACAGCTGGAGCGTGGCTGTCTGCGAGAGCAAGTGCCTGTGCTCCTGGGCTTCCAGTACACAGCTGAACCATGGAAGTCTTTGGGAATCACAGAATGAATGGGGTTGGAGGGGACCTCTAGGGATCACCTAGTCCAACCCTCAAAGGAAGCAGTTCTCTCTTTGCAGTCGAGCAAAGCGTTTTAAACTCCCACATTGGCGATCCCTACAAAAGGAGTAGCAGCCTCCTCAGCAGCATCGCCCGCGTTGGCGAGGTGGCACCCGCTCTCCTGCCCGCTCCTGGGCAGCGTGTGCTACAGCAGCCAGGAAGGTGCCCGTGTGGGAGACCTGCAGCTCCCAGGACTCAGGAATCATCCCATGGGCTGGTGCTGCTGGAAAAGATAATCCTCACAGAGCCCAAAACACCCAAACTCTAAATGAATACAGAAGCAGTGCAGCTTGGAGTGCAGCGTGGCATTCGGGCATCCTCTCTTGACTCCAGTGCATCTTGTTAAAATAGAGGCTAACCAAATGGGCAGTGAGAAGCTGTCCCAGCTGCTGCTCTGTGCACAATGAGGAGGGATATCTTAGGGATATCCCAAGTTTGACAGGGGAGATGCCCCAGGCTTGGGTGTTGAGGAGCTTTGGGGCCGGCCATGCTTTGGTAGACACCAAGGTCAAGCACTGGACCAGGCAGTGATGAAGCAAAGAGGAATCTGGGGTCCGTTCACCAGCGAGGTGAGGGACGTAGGTTTGAATGGGCAAGAAGGAAGAGCCAAGGTTATGACTTTGCAGGGTGAGAGGTGAGGAGGTCTGTTGACCTCCAATTGGGAAACAATTACATTGGCTTTCTGTTTGGAGCGGGAGTGCTGCTTTTTTTGGAAATCAAGAGGCAACGTTTCACAATCAAATAATTTCTTCTCATCTGTCCCTCCCCCAAATTGGTCATGGGATGTTTTTACATAAGCAGCTTTCTCCTTGAGCAAGGGCAGGTTTTGCTTGTAAAGATGTGCTTATCACCACACAGTTGGATTTCCTCAGATGTTGCCCACTCTCTGCCCTTGTAATGGCCACAGGAAATGGCTGTGCAAGGCATAGGGTTATTTTGGTTTCCCTACGTCGGAGTGATGCGTTCCTGGCTTCCCTGCTGATGGCTGCTTCCCAGTGCACGCTGCTGTCGTGAACCCAGGGCTTCCTGCTGCTCTTGGTGACCCAGGTCCGTGCCATTGCACCAGCGTAGCCCTAGGCTC